GGGGGGGGAGACACACACGAGCTGCTTGTCATGCAGAGAGCGCAGGGAGGTCATTGTTCCCAAACAAATCCAGCGGCATTGTGTGTCCCCGAGCAACAGGGACCCCCCAGAGCCAAAATACACGGAGGGGAGCCGTGTACAACACACGCTAACGTGGACCTGTCATCACATTTTATGTTCAGAAATTGTATTTTTCACCGATCACAAAGATCACAGGACTCCCCCTGACAACGCCTTCATCTGCTTTACTCTCCAGAAGCACGGCGCCATCTTTGTTCAGCCATCATCCGGGGTCACTGAGATGACACAATCATGTAAATCCTGGCTAGTGCTTGGCTGTGTTCAGAAATGTCTGACACAGATCAGCCCTTCATCTTGTGACTGGATACAAAGTTACAATGTTGCTGATCACTGGGGGTTGGCAGACTCAGGAAATGCTGCCTGTTGTTCTCTCCCCTTGTGCAGGGTGACTGGTCTAGTCTCCGCCCCCTCCCGTAATAAAGACCGCTCACTGCGGCTCTCTCTCCTTGTGCAGGGTGACTGGTCTAGTCTCCGCCCCCTCCTGTAATAAAGACCGGTCACTGCTGCTCTCCCTCCTTGTGCAGGGTGACTGGTCTAGTCTCCGCCCCCTCCTGTAATAAAGACCGGTCACTGCTGCTCTCCCTCCTTGTGCAGGGTGACTGGTCTAGTCTCCGCCCCCTCCTGTAATAAAGACCGGTCACTGCTGCTCTCCCTCCTTGTGCAGGGTGACTGGTCTAGTCTCCGCCCCCTCCTGTAATAAAGACCGGTCACTGCTGCTCTCCCTCCTTGTGCAGGGTGACTGGTCTAGTCTCCGCCCCCTCCTGTAATAAAGACCGGTCACTGCTGCTCTCCCTCCTTGTGCAGGGTGACTGGTCTAGTCTCCGCCCCCTCCTGTAATAAAGACCGCTCGCTGCTGCGCTCTCTCCTTGTGCAGGGTGACTGGTCTTGTCTCCGCCCCCCTCCTGTAGTTTTCTGTAGTGGGTGGGGTCTGCTGGGCCCCTCCCACATCTCTGCTCTCTGCACAGTGGTGATGTCACTGCTACTTTTGTAGGGTAATATCTGGGAGGCACTTGGTGGATGTTTTATCCTCTGGGCTCTTTTGGGTGAATGTCTTTCTGTCCGGAGTTCGGACGATTGATGGCTTGTTGGGGGACATTGTGGGGGAGGGGACACGGTAATAAACGGTCACTTTCGGAAAGTTTCTCTCATTGGACGCCGTGTTCGGGGCGGGCTGCGACGTCTGCGGGTGAGAATTTGTATTTTATGATTTCATTTTTTACATCCGGCTCATTTATAGAATCTGGAAGGAAACTTTGTAACCGTTTTATATATAAAAGATATTAACACCACCCCCTCCTCGCCCCCCCTTCCCCGGAGGAGGGGTGCAGGCAGACGCCCGGCCTGGGGTGATTATTCAGGTTTTGTACCCGGTGAGGGCAGATTCTCGCATATTAATAGCTGATTGAGTAGGGGGCGGGGTCTGATATCGCCATTCTCCATATTAGTAATCCTCCGTCACTATACTCGAAAGTTGTGCACACAGCCACTGACTATCCCCGGAGACAGCGGGGAGCCGGCAGATATTTTCCTTCCTTCTTGGCGCAGGGCGGGCGCGGATCAGCGGCGGGAACATATATACAGTTCCCCAGCCTAATGACTTGACACGCAACCTCCTATAAACCATATACACAGCCGCCCCCCACAGCAACAATATGTGCAGTCCCTAATCACCTCCTTCCCCACAGAAACAGTCATTAATAACTTCCCGCTTCATCCTGCCTGTGTCAGACCAGCACCCCATCATCACCGGACGATGATGTAAAGTCGTAATTCGGAGGGTCAGGTGGGTGGCGTCGGGTCTTCAGGATGAATCTAATTCTGACCGCTGATACGGAAATGCACGGACATCGGGAACGCCGCTCTCATAAACAGAATGGCTGCCAGGAGCGTGTCTGAGTGGGAGCCGAATAAAGGAGAAGAGGAGCCGGGAGAGCCAAGTCCAAAATTACTGGATTATGTGAGAATGGTTCAAATAAAATCGGCAGAAATGGCCGACGCGTTTCGGGGGCTCAAATAATTCCATAATATATAAATGAATAAAAATCCCACCACTCACCGTATATATATATATAACTATATCGCCAGAAGTATTGGGACGCCTTTACACGCACATGAACTCTAATGAAGGGAGGGGCCCGATACTTTTGGCAATATAGTGTATATATAGTGTTGTCACCCTATAACAGGAAGTGCCTGAACATGGCGGGATCTCCAGGGATTATTATAATGAAAGCCGCTGATTTTTAAAGGATTGAAAATCAGATTTGTGATTCGGTAAACTTGTTGAAGGTTAGATGAGGAATTAGTGATCGGGGTCACAGCGACTTTCCACATTGTAACTCGTGCTGAAACACACAACGCACACAGATATATACGCACACACATTGGGCCTTCGTGTCTCTCCCGGTATCATCGGCTATGTAACATGTTTCGGGTTTTAGATGAATGTGAATTCTTCTCTTTTCCAGGTCACGGCGAATGTGACTGCGGCGAATGTAAGTGTCACGCCGGCTACGTTGGCGACAACTGCAACTGCACTACGGAGACCAGCAGCTGCGTGTCCAGCGACGGGCAGATGTGCAGCGGCAAAGGGAACTGCGTGTGCGGCCGCTGCCTGTGTGTGGAGCCGGGGGCGTTCGGGGAGACCTGCGACAAATGCCCCACCTGCCCCGACGCCTGCGGGACAAAAAGGTAAAATCTCCGACCCTGTGGTGGCGACAACGCCGGATTTCTACTTCCTGTTATAAATCTCTGGCCGTCCAACATCAATGAGGAGGTGACCAGGCTGGCTGTACTGTCTGGCAGGGCTGTGTAAATATCAGCACTGGATGGACAGGAATGCAAAAAAAACATCC